TTAGTGCCCCGAGGCTCGGTCCCCGGGCGGGTCTCGCCACCCCGCCGGGCGCGCTCCGGCCGCGGCGATGCTCAGTGCCTGGTGCCACCTCCAGGGATTTCAGACACGTTCCCTCTGCTCCAGCAGAATGATCCCCTTTTTCGTGAACCCGCGTGTAGCCACGTTTCCTCCCCCCCCGCTAGTGACTAGTAGTCATCCTCGCGTGTAGCCACGTTTCCTACCCCCCCGCTAGTGACTAGTAGTCATCCTGCCGCTTAGTCTCGGTGTGATCCTCTCTGGATCCCAGTCACATCGGTGCGTGATGTGTTGTTTGTTTTAACAGCTTGTCTGATTGTTTTATGGAAATGCTCACCCGTACCTGCATTATAAATAATCCTTTAACAGATGTTAAGGTGTGAAGTGTTGGACATGGAGGTTTTTTCAGGGGTGTGTCCCTTCGTTTTTCCGTGTCTGCCTATATACGACTATATATCTATGCACCCGCAAATGGAAAACATTGGGTCTGATCAAATTGTTTAGGATTTCTTTGTCTGCTCTGACCTTGTGGTTTGAACATGCTTTTCTGTAAATACCAGGACTGTGGTGTTAAAGGGGAGCTCAATTTCTGTTTAAAGGGCGTAATTGGGAATTACAGACGTTATTGATTAAAGCATAAGCGTGCGGAAGAAAGGGCAGTGACTCGCACTTCTTCCTCCCCCCGTCCAAAATTGGTAAAGCTGAAAGCCCTTAAAAAGGGCTTTTGGGGTGTGTGTGTTTGGGCAAAGGAAACAGCAGACCTAAGAAAAATCCGTTTTTCTTGGCACAGGCATTGCTATTGAGATACAGTTTCTGAATTGTGCATTCTGGGATTGCTTAAAATCTGAAGAACAGGTTCTCATTGGAATTGGAAATGAAGTAAAACAATTGACATAATTTTTTAAACATGGAAACAGTGGTGGTATAATCTTGATCCTAAGCTGTGGCCACTGAGCTATATTTTGTATTTAACTTACAGAGAGGCATCAATGAAATGCTGCAGCAAACGTTCTTGTTGGTTTCACTGAATTGGGGTGTATATGTGTATGGGAGAAACATAGTTTAGTCTTTTTCTTTGTATAAGAAACCACATGTACTACAACATAGGTAGTATATGAATATATGTTAGGTTGCCTTTAAAGTATTTACAAGTATAAATCCTGCATATATACATAAGCATATGATCCTGTGCCAATGTAACAAAATAAGTTGTGAACTGTAACCAAAGCAGGGTAAATAATTTACATCAAGGGCCCACATTTGCAGTGGTTACTCCTAGGTTCTTGTGCTAGTCAAGCGTATGAACCACTCTGAGAAGTTGCTGAGCGCATCCCCTACAGCTTCCCAGCATCAGGATCCAGCTGTGCAATCATTGGTTCATTGGTTTAATACAAGCTTCTGTAAGCCAGAGAGCATCCATAAGTTTTTCTGTATTTCCACTGTATTTCCTCCCAGTGTTTTACTGCTGGTCTGTAATATTTTTTTCCTCAATGTTCACGTCATTATGAGTGTTTGAAACAAAGCTACTGCTTGCTATTTTTTTGTCTTTTTATTGGAAATCAATGAGAGAGGCCACTTCTAAATGAGGTCTGTGCATCTGTGCTATAAATAAACTTACTGTGCTTTGCTGTTCTGCAGACAACTGCAAATCTAGATGGCTCCTAAACTAAAGTAAATGTCTTTGGAACCCAATGATCTTTTGATAATTCTAAATTATTCTTGGTATTTTTATGTCTTCTATTTGTGAAAATTAATTGCACTTTGTAGTATTTAATCTTGTGTTGGCTGTAAAAGGGAACAGCGGTATTTACCCCCATTACTTCATTTCCGAACATGGGAAATTCTGTTTATGTGAACTGTGTTGAACAGCTGGGATCATTTTGGTCAGGGCTGACAGGTTTTTCTCACTGTCAAATGTGGGAGACACCAATTGCTAATTTGCCCAATGACACTGATTTTATCACTCCTTTGGTGATGGCACAAGAAGCTGTCAGCCTTAGTCAATTTGCCTATTAGGCTGATATTAATAATACATTTTGCAAATCTTACGGAGTACTGAAGTAGCTTGGTCATTGAAAAATACTAGTTTCCTGCCTCCCTCTAATACATTTTTTTTTTCTAATTCCATGCCATTTGAGCCCCTCTGTTGGTTCAGAGTATGCAAAGTATTTGCACAAGGACAAGTGAAATAATTTATTACAAAGCTTAGGCTGTAG